TATTTAGTTCTGTTTATTGTATAGGATTGCCAGGGGTCAAAATGGACTAGATAGCACCGAGTTTGTTTCGGCTTCTATTTTTGATTAGTTAGTACAAGAGTGGGTTGTGGCCCTCACCCAGTGAGTGGGGCTGCAGGAGGTGTGGCTGTGGTTGGGATAGGTGAGTACAGTGACAACTCCTGTCAGGTGGGACAAAGAAGGAAAAAGACACATAACAACAGAAAAGATAATTGTTACGGAAGAAAAAAATGGTACAATATAGGAAAACAAGCAAATTAAAGGGGCTGGTGCCTTGATGCAGCATGGCTGTCCTGTTTACCGGAAGAGTGTGGGAAACAAGGTTGGTTTTCTGGGCATCAGCCAACAGTGTGGGTGCTTTTTCTGTTGAGTTGCTGTCCCAATCCAAAGCTGAGGCAAGTTTCAAGCAGCCGTGTTGCATCATGCTTGCTGATAATTCACCCTTTCCTTCTGTCTCCTCTCTTAAAGTATCTGCTCAACTTCTTCTGCTAGTTGTTATTCAATCCATTTCTCTAGCCTTTTCTCTGAAGCTGAGGTTTCCAGGATTATCATCTGTATCTGTTTCATGTCATCTCCTGTGTCTTTGTTGCCCAGCATCTGGATAATGTGTTGACTGTCTTGCCGGAAGTGAAGATTTAAAATCATCTAATATCAGAATTGAAATTTCCTTAAAACATGGAATACCAGTTTACAACAGTTTTTAGAAGGCAAGTGTGCAGAAATAAGTTCTTCAGAGATTGAATCATCATTACTGAAACTGATTTCATAAAATTTGGTAGCTAACAGGACACTTTAGAATAGGAAAGTGCCAAGGTCATGCTACAAAATCACAGTTGAAACCCATGTTTTCTAATGCCTGCTTACATCATCGGTGACTTCCAGCCTTTATGGACAAGATCGGCTATAAGATTATCTTTGAACAGTTTGCAGATTTGATTTGATGCCTCACAGATTCCATCTGTCCCTATGCTTCAGTACAGAAAGAGGAATCCCCTGGAGTGAAGCTGAAATGCATAATCTATACCTTCATCTGGAATTCACATTGCTGAAAGTACTGGACTGACTCGACTCTCTAGGCTTTGTTTCCTAGAACTAAAAGCAAGGAAACTTGGGTTTAGTTAGAATCTCTTGCTGCCAGAAGTCGGGGCAGCCCTTCTAGTGGAGCCCCTTTACTAGTTGCTGAGGAGATATTCCCGGGCTTATGATCCTGCTCTCAGAAGATGCTAATTTGGAGCAAACGACTTTCTTTTTATAATCGGAAAAAAGGAAAATGCAGTTGTATGTGTGTGTTTGTTTTTAATGCAGCTGTTTGTTAATTCATCAGAGATGAATTCTGATGTTATGACAAGTTCTAGGAGATCGTGGCTTGTTTTTACTTATTCCTCATTAGGGAATACCCTTTTTTCCCCCTTCTTTTAAGGTGGGCTGCTTGTCTCATTCTCTTGGCTAGTGGATTAAGGGCACCCCATTTTAGTGGCAGGACTGAAAGAGACCATCTTTAATCTTAGGTATTCAAGAGCCCTGTGCTTGAGATAGCACTGCAGTTTGCTCACTCTTCAATTATTGACATAATAGACATAGTAGTGAAGAAATCAGAACTTTGCTTACCTCCAAGGAAGTTCAAAATGACTTTTTTATTTTGTTTGAATATAGCCCTATTTTTCCTTTATCTTTCTGATTGCATATAATAGTACTTAGTTTCTTGACACTGGTTCCACAGATAGTATTGCTCGTGGTATCATAATCTCCGAGTAGTCCTAGTTTACCACTGTGGCTGCATTACATATGTGTTTGCCAGCAGAAAATGGCAGGCAAACTCTCAAAAGTTATGTGAAATAGTGTCAAGATTATTATGATTAAAGCAATCATTGTTTTACCAACTTGGTTGTTAAGTACGTCATTTAGTTTTTTGTTTGTTTGTTTCCTTCTCCAGTTCTGTGTAGATACTAGAAAGATTCATTCCATTCATCAGAAGCCTTTGGAAGACAGAATGGATTGGAATCCACTTTTCAATATGCCATTTCCTAACACACACACAGACTCTCCACACTCCCCCCGCCCTCACCCCGTACACAAGCATTGCTTAGGTTTAGTGGGAGAGTGGAATAGAAGGAACCTGAGAAGCAAGTACTCAAGGACCATAATGTGTCTTGAAACTGTAAAACATCCCGAGTGTCTTAACTCTCTACTACTGCTGTCATGGAAATGCCACAAGTGGGTGACTTGAACGAACAAAGGTTTATTGTCTCACAGTTGGGAAAGCTAGAAGCCCTGATTCAGGGTGCTGGCTAGGGAACGGCTTGTGTACTTTCTCTCTCTCTCTCTCTCTCTCTGTGTCTTTCAGTTCTGGTAGAAAATCCTTGTCCCTTCAACTTTTTCTTCCTAGTTCCTTGGAGATCTTGAGTCTTGGCATCTACTTCACCCTATCTTTCCTCCTTTTGCTTGCTACTTTAATATAGTTTACATCCCCAGATGGGAGCCCTCGTAGTACAGTGGCTTCTAACTGTAAGGTTGGCAGTTTGAGCTCGCAAACTGTTCACTGGGAGAACAATATGAGTTTCTTCCCACCGAAGATTTAAAGCCTCAGAAATACAGGGTCTCTATGGGTGTCAACGAGATGGATTGACATATTGGCTGCAACCGTGGGCTCAAGCATAGGAGTCATTGTGAGAATGGAGCAGGGCTGCGCATTGGTTCATTGTTGTGCATAAGGTCCTGTGGTTTGGAACCGACTCGATGGCACCTAAAAACCACATGGGTCAGAATCAAGTTGATAGCAGTGGGTTTGAAAGGAGCCCTGGTGGTGTATTTGTCTGTACATTCAGCTGCTAAATGCGAGGTCATGGGTTTGAACCCACCGACTGCTACAAGAGAGAAAGATGGGGCTGACTACTGTAAAAATATAAAAAGCCGATAAGCCCAAAGAGGCAGATCTCCTCTGTCCTACAGACTCAGACAGAGGTAGTGAGTTTGTTTTCTGACATCTTACAGGAGATTGCCTCAAGGCACACAGAAGACTAGCCCTGCCTTATTAAGCTAACAAAACCTCCATTCCCAACAAGATTGTAACACAAACTCAAAACCAAACTTGGGTTTGTTTTTTTGCCTATTTCAAATGAACTTGCATGTCACTAAAAATTCCAAGTCCACTTTAATTTTACTTTTCCTCCCTTTTTTTAGCCACTCAGATCATTATTTAGATCCGTGGGGTAAGGAATCTGGAGGTTTTTAAGGCTTCGCTTTCTTTTCTTTTTTAACTTAATTACTATATACTCGAGTATAAGCCCACCCAACTATCAACCAAGGCACCTAATTTTACCACAAAAACTGCATTGAAAATGTGCTGAAACCCTCGGCTTATCCTCACGCATATGCGTGTTTTTTGTTGGTGGTTGTTTTCAAGGCGGCGTACGTAGTCTATGGAGTTGCACGGTTCACCTGGACCAAGGACGATGGGCCTTCCAGCCCTTCCATCTTCCCAAACTGCTGTCTGTAGGAAGGAATTAATATTTCCAATGTTAGATCACTGGTAGCTTATCAAAACTTTAGTCAATACAAGAGTGATAGTGGGTATATCTTAAATATAGTACACAGGCATAAATAACTCACTGCCATCGAGTCCGCTCTGACTCGTAGTTACCCGACAGGACACGAAAGAACTGCCGCTGCTGTTCTGGGATTAGGAAGCCTAATTTTTCTCCTGCAAAGCGGCTGTTGCAGCCCAACACATCACTGCAACATCACCAGGACTCCTTAGTGCCTAAGCATAGTGGCTACAAATGATACTTTCTTGAAAATTGTAGCTAATATATGAACTTCAGATTCAGGTTAAAAGTAATGCAAAAATGAGGGAGGGGGGAAAAGTGAGGGAGGGGAAAAAATGAGGAGCTGATGCCAGGGGCTTAAGTGGAGGGGAAATGTTTTGAGAATGACAAGGGCAATGAATGTACAAATGCGCTTTACACAATTGACGTATGTATGGATTGTGATTGATGTATGTATGGATTGTGATAAGAGTTGTATGAGCCCCTAATAAAATGATTTAAAAAAAGACTATTACCCATGCTACACCATGGGTAAATTTTATTTATTTGTAATTAGAAATAAATATTACACAATATATATTAAAAAATAAATAAATAAAAGTAATGCAAAAAAAATCCTTTCTAAAATGGAAAAATGCATTGGGTTCCTAGTGTTAGTGAAGATATGTTTACATTTTCTTTTTAGTGTTTATAAATACATTTCATTTTAACCTTATTAATTCAAAAGAGGTTTGGCATGATAGCAGGGTGTAAAAACCAGAAACTTTATATATTTTCCCTTATGATTTTTATTTTATAAAAATTGATCTGAAGGATTGAGATTAAAAAAACAACTAAAATATTCATTTCCAATATTAATCTTATAAAATTTTTGGAATATGCCATTCTAGTGTTTTTAAAAAATCTTGTGTATATATGTATGTATGTGTATGAGAGAGTGTATATGTGCACATTTTAAAATAATAAGATCACATTATAAGTGTTTGTGGTTTTTCATCTTTTTTTTGAAAATGATTTTTAAGCTTTAATGGTAGGATATTAAACATATTGTTTTAATTTTTTTACTACTAAAATCCTACAATCATATTTTGATCTAATCTTTGTATACTGAGTTTAGGTTTGTTTGTTATTTTCTTTCATTAGATTGATGGGCATAGAGAAAGCAATTACTTTTTTTTTTAACTCACATTGCCATTATTGCCCTCCAGAAAGGTTCACCACATTCATATTTCTAATATATAAGGATTTTTCTCTGTTTATTTTTAACACTAGTATTTAAATGTTTGATTTCATGGAATTATAATTGGTTTGTAATTTCATGGAATGGAATTGTAGGTGATTTGTGATAATATAGGTAATCAATAATCTACTTTTAGTTCTCGGACGTGACTCTTTATGGAACTAAAAGGAAATACATTCATTTTTGTTTAATTTCAGAATGACATTCTACCCCTCTCAAACATAGTACCTGAAGATGTGGGAAAAGCTGACCAATTAAAAGATGAAGGTAAGTGTTTCATATAAAAATGACTGTTTTAGTAAAGATTTTGGAAACGCTGATTTAAAAAAAAAACATCTGCAACCAGTCAGTATAATTCTGGTTTTCACTGCCTTATCTTGGCGTTTGGTGTCATTGAGTCTGTTTCAAATCACAGTAAGCCTGTGCACAACTGAAGCACTGCCCAGTCCTGCGCCATCCTCACATTGTTCTTATGTTTGAGCCCCTCGATGCAGCCGCGGTGTCAAAGCCTTGCTGAAGTGCTTCCTCCTTTTCACTGCCACACAGCTAGCACGCTGTCCTTCTCCAGGGACTGGTCTCCCCAGCCCCGACCAGGTTAGCCGAAGCCCACATGGTACTCAGGAAACAAAAATGAATATGATGCATAGAAGCTGGGCTACACAGAAAGGTTTGCTTGAAAGAAGCAGATTTGTTGAGAGTAAAACTTGCCAGATAAATAACTTATGAGCGGGTTATGTGATTATGTTTGCTACTTGTATGGTGAGGTCCCAAATGTTGATGTTTGATCAAAGGGGGAAACTGATTTTCATTAATTTCTTAATTTTGGGTTCATTTGGTGTTGTTGAATTCTTGGAAATTTGATTACCCACGATACTGTATTTCTAGCTGTTGTAACAGTCTTGGTTTTACCGGATAATTCATTCTTGAGAATCTGCATTCTGCTTTTTAATTTTCTTTCAGAAATGGTAAATGTGTGAACTTCTCAGTGATGCAGTATAATTTCCTTCTAACACCTTAACTTCTGCAGCACCTTTGGTTTAACCCTACACTTGACCTCAGCCAAAAGGGTGAGAAGCAATGGTTTAGCTCTAGTAATAATGGTGAGAAAATGACAAATTAAGAGGCTTTTTTGAGGGGGGTGGCAGGTGTTGTCTCTCAGGCTTGTTCTCACTGCTAGGGAGATTGCATTCCCCGGGGAGTCTGTTATGATGTACTCAGTGTAAGAAGAGTTACAGGGATGAGCAGAGCGAGACGCATTTGCCATGGTCACAGCATCGTTAGATGGAATTTTTGCCTTTGCTTTTAATTAGATGATGAGGGGATGTTGTCAAGCACAGGCTGATCCTGGCTGTGTGTTGTATGTGTCTGTGTGATCAAGGCTTTCTGGAAAGTTGCATTGCTGACGAGCTCAGACACTAGAAATCTGAGCAGGAAAAAAAACCCAAATTAAATTATTTCCATTAAACATTAAATTCTTTCATGAATATTTCATGTAATTTTAAGTCAAATTGTCTATGTGCTGATGTACTTTGCTGACACCATTTCTGAACCCAAATACAACACCCATAGCCAACAAATCAAACATTTCTAAGGCTGTGAATCTAGATAGAAGCAGACAGCCACATCTTTCTCCCAGGGAGTGGCTGGTGGGTTTGAACCACCGACCATTCAGTTAGCCACCCAAGACTAAGTCACTGTGCAAGCTGGGTTCTGTACCTTTTCTAAAAGAAAATAAAAGACGGAAACCAAGATACCAAAATTTACAAGCGGGCTTCAGAAAGTTCATGGAAAATTTCCATTGTCTTTTAACTCCATTTTACCAAGAGTTAATTTTGAAGCCCCCTTGTATATGCAAAGGTAGGGAATACGGTGTGATTTGGGATTATGGCATTCTCTGTCTGGGTAAGGAGATCATGGTCGGTTCCCGTAGGGATTGCAGCATAGAACACTCTGTGGGACAGTTCTCCTTTGCCCTGTGACTTTGAGTTTGGATCGACTTTAGCACCTAACAACAACCTGGGCTAGTTATAGTATTTAGAAATTTATCTTTTGAGAAATTGATCGTCAAAAATCTTACTGGCTAATTAGAGTGATTAGGTTGCCAGCGTAACCCCAGTGCAGAGCGGCTGGTTATTCAACCAGGTGTGTGTTATGACGGGATTGAAGAGGACTGAGGGGGGTATGGCATCTAGAATGGGGTGGGGCAGCTCTCAACAAGGGGAGAGAAAGACCAAGAAGGAGAGAAGCAATTGGGGCTTGCCTGCGGTAGTCATAATTGTTGCATTTACTCTCAGAATGAGGTTTGTAAAAGGTATACAAACATTCCTTCTTAAGACTTTCCACTGCTCACGAATGTGCACTAAAGGCTAAGAAAGACCCACTCTATAGTAGAAGATTTAGCTCCAGTGTAACTGAAAACTCCTGTCTGGTCCATTCATAGTTACTGTTTTTTTTAATAGTTAAAATGTCTCTTTGGGATCTTTAATATATTTTTTCTGTATTTTATGCTTACTGTACATGTTGATTATTTTAGGCAATAATCACATGAAAGAAGAAAATTATGCTGCTGCAGTGGATTGCTATACCCAGGCATTAGAACTGGATCCAAATAATGCGGTGTATTATTGCAACAGGTAAGCTGGCACCATTGTAGCAGGCTTATTGTTCTTAGACCTCTGGAGCAATAGTTCTGAAAGAGAACTGTAAAATGTGTTCATTTACAAAATTCTATAAGTTCAAAAAACAGGGAGAGGAGGAGGAAAATAAAAATAAATGTAGAAAGTTAACCTAATGGAGGCAGCTGTTATCAAACTTTGGTCATATTTTGTTCCACATAAAGTAAATCTTTTTAGATTTGATGTTATTCACATAGCAGATCGTAAACATTTTATTATTTGATTGAAGTCTTTTGTGAGCATTATTTAAATAAGTATAAATTGTTCTTTTATTTCTCTGATTCTATTTTGAATTTCTAGCGCTTCCCATTGTGCTTGATAAATATGATCAATGTTATTTTTGAATGATTGGCTAGACATATTTTAATTTACATAACGACTGTCTATAAAGTGACAGTCTCAGAAATCCACAAGAGCAGTTCTGCCCTGTCCCACAGGGCTGCTATGAGTTGGCACTGACTAACTGGCAGTGACTTTGATTTGGGACTATTGTTCTGCTGATGGACATTGAGTTTCTCTCAGTCCTCTCTCTCCCATTATTGTAAAGCTTTGGTGAACAACTTTGGTTTCTAAATATTTTTCCTGGAATTCACATTTTCTATATTTTGGACATATTCTTGGAAATGTGCTTTATGGAAGAGACAGGAAAGAATTGTTGATGCAGATTGTAAAGTTATTCCAAGTTCTTTGAAATTATTTAGGAAATGAGTTCCCTCTTCCAGGCGGATATGAATGTACCTAGTATCCCCTTACCAGCATCAAATATTCAAATTATTATTTTCTACTTAAAATGTAATCTTATTATTTTAGTGTCAATTGATCTAATATATATTTACTTAATTATTGGAGACTTTGGACCATTTTCAAATGTTGATTCTTTATCATTAAGATTTTGATAACTGTGTCAGGCCTCAGCCTGTTTGGTATTAGACTGGCTCCCGTTCTTCTCCTTGCTGAGTGTTGATCGCGGTGGGCTGATGCCTGTCATCCGCATTCTCAGGCTTTGTTGAAAGGTACTGGTGGGAGGTTGGAGGGCCGAAGGGGAAGGGCTATCTCAGAGTGTTTCTTCTCTCTCCCTTTCTTAAAAAACTCATTTCATATCTGGCGGAGGCTGTTTGTCTCCTCGTTGCCTTCATCTCCCAGGAGAGAGAACTGCGAAGCTCCCAGGTGTAGCCAGGTGACCTTGGCCTGTAGACTCTGCTTTTTGTCCTTCGTCATGGGCGCGGGAAAGGCCTTCCAGGGTTGTGTGGCATTTAAGGTTTTCTCTCACTGGGGTAATTATTTCCCTGCATTAAATGATTGCGTTTCAAATCTGTCAGCTACTACATGGTTCTTAACATTTTTCAGTATGGTTATTGTGCTTTTCAAAATGTGATACGCTCTGCATCAGTGTTATTCAACCGGACTTTTTGCAGTGATGGGAATGTTCTGTATCTTTGTTGCCCACCCTGGCCATTGAGCACTTGTAATGTAGCTACTGTAATGAGGAACTAAAAATTTAAAGTTATTGTAAAATCCATTTATACTGATTAACTTAATGAGTTAAATTTGAAATGCCATATGTGGCTATTCCTGTGTGAGAGAGCACATTTATATATTAGACATGTCATTCCAGTGTCATAAGTTATGATCATAGGTTATTGTTATTGTCATAGGTTATTATTTGCTTTTTATTTACTTTTTATAAAAAGTTAAAAATATTTATGTAGTGAAATTTTTTTTACCCCTAATGCTGTATAGCTAAGTTTGTTCTTTGTTTAGAGACTGGACCTCTAGTTTCTTATTTTTCCTTTACATTTACATTTTATCACCTCAAATCTATTTTGGTATGATTACTTTACTTGCTTTTAAAATAATTCTTTCATTAATTATATTTTAATTTTAATTTTTGTATGTGTTTATTATAATTTGGGTGAAAATTTTACAGAGCAAATTGTTTTCCATTCAGCAGTTTATATACATTTTGTTTCTTTCTTTTTAATCATTTTATTGGCTCATATACCTCTTATCACAATCCATATATATATCCATTTTGTCAAGCACATTTATATATATGTTGCCATCATCATTTTCAAAACATTTTCGTTCTATTTGAGCCCTTGGTATCAGCTCATTTGCCCCCTCCCCCACCCTCCCTCCCTCACGAACCCTTGATAATTTATAAATTAATTTTTCTTTCATGTTTTACACAGACCGCTGTCTCCCTTCACCCACTTTTCTGTTGTCCATCCCCCTAGGAGGGGGCTA